GGCAGAGCACGGATGTGGCTTCGAACGGGGACGCCGCAGCTGGGGCAGCACTGCGGGATGCAGCATAACGCCCATTGAGGTCCTTCTGCTGGCCAGAGCCCCGGGAGTGGGGAGTGCTGGATCAGGACCTGGGTGGGATTTGGGCAACGCGCACGAGACCTCCTTAATTTTGGATACGAACATACCTCCTCTCCCCAGTGACTGGATTCTGCCTGCCCTTTCTCTACTCCATCAGAGAGGCTCTCTGTAAGAAGAAATGGCTTCTTGGTGGGGTTGGTCAGTGCTAGCGAGGTGCCCAGCCCAGCACAGTGGGGGATGCTCTGCCTGCAGAAACCCCTCGCTCCTGCTGTCAGTGAGCCCGTTTGCAGCCACGTGCGCAAGGATCCGCTTTCGGAGGGAGTGAGGGATCCTGACTCTGCAGCCAGGGCCACCTCTTGGGGACCGACTCCTCCGCATTGAGGAATCTCATAATATTTGGGTTTCCACATCATCCTTAGATTATTTTTCGAGTCTACTCTTGTCCTGTGAGCACGATGTGCAGCCATGATCGCTCACTCATAAAGCAAGGGGCAGGGGCAGTGGAGGTGCCAAGAAATGTGGTTGTAGGATGTAGACAAGTAGGAGCCAGGTCTTGTTGCTTTGCTGCTGCTTGAGGAGTTGCCTGTGTAGCAGCAAAAGGGAGGAGGAGATGGTGGGAAGAGAGGGAAGAGGTGGTCTGGAGCAGAGAGGAGCAGAGCGTGGCGCTTGGGTGAATGACGCGTGTGTCCCTTGCATGAAGAAGAATCCTCGTGAGCTGCCCCCTGGTCATCTTGTACCGAGCGCTGAGGAAGGCGCCTGGACTCTCAGCCTCCAGAGGTGATTAGTGCCTGATGAGGGACTCATCCCAGGATAACGAGGGGTCTGCCAGTCTGCCTCAGCGCCATGGGCAGCTGCCCACTCGAGAAGGGTCTTGGCTGGCTGGGACCCTGGGTGGCTGTGGCTCTCCCGGCGCTGCCCTGGCTACCTGCCCTGCCCTTTGTGGGTGCAGTCGTGCCCAGGCAGGAATG